CACCCCAAGAGTGAAACATCTTCTCTTTCTACCTAGCAGCATTCTAAGTGATGAGCATTCCTTGGAGGAACAAGATACAGCAGCTCAAGAAGGAAGAAACAATAATGGTATTATGATAAAAATCTCTAAAAGGCCCTCATGCTATAGCAGATGTAAACAAAATATAGCAGCCCCTTGCTGGAACTATCAAGTCTGTCATAGCTTGTAGGTGATCACTAAGTAAGTGAAAGGTGCACTTAGAAATGCAAAGTATTTCACAGCTCTGTGTTGTAACACACTATTGTAAAGGAAACACATGTGATGCTTTTGCTTAGTGTTTGTGTATGTGAAATTGCTATAGGGAACTCAAAGTGATTGCAGCTTAAACTGTGATGTACATTTAAGCAAGTTATTTAATCTGTCCATAAGCTTACTATTAAGAGTTTCAAGCAGAGATTCTCCTTTCAGGTCAATCTCTCCTTTACAGGTCAGCTTGCTTAAAGGTCTAAGCTTATTAACTTTGTAAGAACTTAGTGCTGGGGACAAAGGAAAAATCCATACACTTAAAAGATCAAATACCTTTTCCCCATATTCTATTTTAAGAGGAGGGAGATGAAATAAAACAAGACATTTGATTTCATATGGAATAGGGTATTTGTACCACAAGAGGGCACTAAGCCCATATTTAAAGCAGATGATAAAGCTATTGCTGTTATAAAGTCCTAAATTCAGAAGTATGCATTGTTTTTACAAACACACATACTCACTGCACAAAAGCACCTGGATATCTTGATGGCATGCACATATATTCATAATGTACTCACACTGCCTCTACTTCCAACGAAAGACAGTGACACTGAAGAAACTTGAAGCTTGAAACAAGTTGTGCTTCATGCTTTAAATAACATCAGTTTACTACTGAAGTTTAAGACTGAATTTTGACCTTCTCTAAAAGAACCTGCAGTGCATGAGCTGGTAACAAATTGGAACTGCTTACAGTCAGATAGAAGCATTTTGAGTACAAACGACTTCTGTTTGTCCAAGCAGCAATTCTCTTTACGTGCAGAAGGAAAAGTCCTACACAACAGCAATTCACAGATGTTTCAAAGGACAGCTGACCACCACACTAAAAATATGCTTCAGGTATATTATAACCATTTTAATAAGGCTTAGCAACATCTGAATGGTCACATCAGCCAGTAACATGCCACAGGAACAATCCCTTAGGCTTTAGTTGGATAATCTTCTACAGGTCTTACCACATGATAAAAGCTACTTGCAAATGTTTAAGCCATAAAGGTGTGCAGAACAAATCCTGGCAATGCACCACTTCAATAGCAGACAAAAATAATGATGCCTTTCTCTATTAGCTTAGTGAGCAGCACAAAGCCAAAGTATCTAATTTCTGCAGCTCTGAGAGTTAACACTGCTTTTCACATTAAGTTTTTTACACTTGTTATGCAAGTCTCTGTTGTTTGTATGTCAGATATGTGGCTGCTTAAGTTATATGTCAAGCAAAATAAAGTTCCTGCTACGTAACATGCTTCAGGAACTGACTTGCCAGTAACAGAACAGTTGATCATCCAGTAGCAACATCCTTAACACTGCCAATAAAAAAGCATTGGTCTGAGGTTTTTAATTCCTCTTCTCACATGCATGAAGTGACCTGGGTTTGAAACAGAAACTTGTACCTAGAACAGAAGTTAGAGAAAAGAAAACAAGGTACCAGGCAGCTGTACAGAGAAGAGCATAAGGCAAGTATCCAACAAGTCCTGTGCTAACAGCAGATGTTCTAGCATGCTGGAGTAAATTCCTATTTCGCCTATACACCAGGCACATACTGTAATAAAAAATCAGGCTATACATTTGGATATTTCATCCCACATGCCATCCCATACTAGCATATAACTCCCACTGACCATTTGCTGGATTCTGCCAATGGCTCACAGCAGCAGAGCAAGGAACTCCATGTCTCATTTATTAGTTCAGTTCTCATGAATAGATGCTTTAGATGGGCAAAGCAAAACCACAGCTATCACATGGGCCTACAACCCAGAGCGCAGGCAGCTCTGCTACTCTTACTTTCATGTATACTGAATGAGCACTTATCAAAACAAGGTATTGAACCAGAGACAACATTTGATATTCCAATTTCTTGGGAGATTTTTCAGCATAACATATCCATCTCAAAGGATGTAAATAGTTATGACATGCCATCAAGTGCATAATAACAAGAGGACAAACTAAATTCAGTATCAGATGTCCAAGACAGCAACACATGATCTGAAAGGCTGTTAAAATCTCCCGAAACAACAATCCAGTGATACTGGAATTGTCCAGTATACATTTGATCCATGTATTTACAAATGTGCTGCATTAGCTCTATACCTGAAGTCCCATTCAGAAAGGTGTGTGAAAGAAGTGTTCAGTTTGCATCTCGTCATCAAAACATGCCTCCCAGTCTGCCATGGAGCCAAATAAGAGCAGATTATGAATCTTGCAAGTCTATATGATATTAATGCTTTAACAAATGCTGTAAGTGCAATAAGTAATATTAAATATTAGCATCTAAATACAGTTTGCATTTTTAAGGTTCTAGGTAGTGGTTGAGTAACTGTATATACTATTGTATGTAAGGAAAATTCAGACTTACAATCTCTTTTCAATTGTTTTCTTTGGCCTGAAGGATGAACAGGAGACTCCCACAATTTCAGGATACTTGTAAACATGAAGTGTGATTTCTGGGTATGTATTCTTGAAATAACTCAGGGTTTGGAGACTTAACCTCACTTTCATACAGCCTGTGAAGGTTCCTCTCGAGTCAGTTGAAGCTTACAGTGGGGAAAAAAAAGTACTTCCCCAAACCTTATGAAAATAAGACAGGCAAATCTACCTGTCCATTTTTGAGTTCTGAGTTTTAACTTAAACCACAAATCATCATCAAGGTTGAATTAACCAATATGTTTATTTTACACTCTGCACAAGAATGTACAAAGAACATTTACACTATTTGTCAGGTTCATACTTTCAGGTTTCTTGCACTCAGACAAAAGACGACCTAAAGGATATTATAAATAGAAATGAAAAAGAAAGAAATATTAAGACAGGAAAAGTTCCAGAAAAAGGCAAAAATAGAGAGTAAAATACTTAAATAATGGAATACTGAAATTCAATGTGAAAAAAATAACATGCTCAGGCATATTCAGCTCTCTCTTGATTTAGCAGCCTCCCGAGTTCCTTAACAAACAAAACCAACCCCAATGTACCAGAGGAACATATTCATGCTCACTAGTTAACCTGTGCCCAAGCGAGCAAGAAAGGAAAGAAGCACTTCTGCTATGTGTTTCTCCTTGAACTTCCTAAACAGTATACACAGTAATAGTCGACCTCAAAATGAATACCCTGGATCAGGAACCAATGCAAACAGCAGCCAAGAATCAGCCAAACTAGAGCAGTATATTGCTAAGTATCATGACAAGTTTAAAGAATAGCATACAGAAAAGAAGAAAGATGTAAAAGGTCATTTTGGGGTTCAAATAGAGCCATTGCTCATTGCCACTCAGTTCTGCCAATATGCTTTTAAATTACTTTCTGCTTAACTTCAAAGTAGAATGTCTGTTATTAAGGTTTGACTGGAACAACTTTAACCTTGTGAGTTACAACCATATTTAAAAGATCTTAATAAAAAATAAACAAACAGTAAATTTTTCTTCCAGAACAGTTAAAGTGTCTCCTGTGATGAAATGTGCAGGTTCCACTACTGCTTACAGTATGTCAGGAGTTTTAGAAGAAGGACAATCTGATGTTAAAGAGAGTCAATGAAAGGTACCAGTGTGGTACCATTATTCAAGTCAGTAATAGACACATAGTTGGCCCATAATGCCACTTACTGCTCTGCATTTAGCCAAACAGCATTAATTTCTCTGCACAACTGATGTGCTGTCAATCACAGCAAAAATGCATAAAGCCATAAAAGCTAGCATTATTCTAATGGCAGAGTGCTGGAATTTCACCTGCAATGGCATCATCTATATTGTACCAGGAGATACAATGGCCTCTCCTTTATGGTTAGACAGTGTAGTTCTAGATGCTAAATCAGAGATTTCCCCATGTCTTTCCACTGGAGAGGGAATTAAAAACCAGTAATTCAGAGGAAGTTGTAGCAATACTGAATATCAAAAGCATTTCTCCCATGTATGGTTTTAACTTAAAAACAAGATTAGATGGAGAGATACCTTAGGAACAATTTTAGAGAAGGGATTATCAAGTATATTTATAAACGTTTTTCAAGATTGCTCATGAGCAGCATATTAGCCATATGCAAGTACAGACTTGAAATATCCAGTGGGATTGACCGAAATGAAAGAATCCATCTCCAAAAAGTAGCATTGATGGTTTTTTTTAAAATAAAAGTAGCCAGGAAGGACAATAAAGCATTCTATCTCAAATATTTGGCAGGTTAAGAGCAGTGACCACATACCCCATATAAACAAAATTACATTGACAGAGGATAGTCTACTCTGTAAAGACTGAACACTAGAAAATGACAACCAAAGTACTGAACACACTGAAAGGGTACGAATTAAAACTAAACTGCTATTCACCACATTCTTCAGCCTTAAGAAAACACATCTGTCTGGCTGTAAAATTTGAAGGGATGTACAAAGGGCCTGTTGAATAGCCCAGCAGCAGCAGCTGTGCACTTCCATAAATACTGAATCCAGCATTGCTCATTTACCAGTAAGAGATATGGGTGAGGCTGTTAAGGTATTACTGGCATACTCAGGAAGTTATCTGCACTCAGTGGTAGCCCTCTAAATATTTAAGAAGTTATTCTCAAGCACTTCTTAGTGGACTGTAACTTTTCCATTAAAAGCAGTGCCCCAACCTTGGTCCTTATAGGGAGAAAGCACTATAAAGGGAGGATCCTTGGAAAAAAAAAGTCATGAATTTCAGGTGCAACACCCAAGGCAGAAATAGACACTATTTCACTTGTGGTCCATCTTTCAGCAGTTGCTTACCACTGCACATAGAAGAGGTGATGTTGTACAGAAAGGGATAGAACTGCAGACAGCGGATCATCTTCAGGCTGCTTTCACACTCCAAGCACTTGGTCGTCAAATCCAGTGCGTGTCTGAAGGCTTGCAGGGCTCCACTAATGTTGTTCAGAGCCAGGTATGCATTTCCTAGGCTTAAAAAAGTCAGGGGCTGCAAAGAGAAAAGCAACATACCCCAGCATAAGTACGCTCACTGTTTAAAATTGAAGCCAGCTAGGAAAAACCCCTGTCAATCCACACCCTCCCAAATTTGGCTCTAAAGAATTTAGGAAACTTCTAAAATAGGGACTGCCTATTCTTAGAATGGAGAACTAACAGCTTGATGCACTGGTGCTAAACAAAAGCTGTTTTGACATAAGGTTGTGTTCAGGATTCCATCTTTCTACGATGAAAACCAGCTGTTAAATACACACAAGCTGAAATGAAGCATTAAACACTTATAACCCATCATGAACATAACACTGCACAGAGTAGCAAAGAACTAAATTGAAATGCTTGAAGACATTTTAGAATGATTAAGAGTCAGCAAATCCATAAAAATATTACTACTGTCTAGCAGGACAGATGCATTTCATTTGTCAAGAGTGTTTACTTTTAATTCCTTATAAAACTTAATATTTTTGTCCACTGCTTTTAGCTACTCCCCCTAAAATAGGTTTGTTTTTTTTTTAATGACCAAATTAAACACCTTTTTCACTGGGCAGAATTGAATTAGCACTTGAATACAGGCACAGAGTAAAGCATTACATTTTGTTTGTTAACTGAAAAGACTTTCACTTAGAGAAAGTAATTCGCTGCAATTAGCAGCATAATGCTAGAATAATGACTGTAATATTGTAATTTACAAGTCATTTTTCCCCACTGCAATAATTTTACATTCATTATCTGAATACGTGGAGACTGAGCAGCAGCACGGGATTTTTCCAACTCATCTTAGCCTCTATTATTAAATGCTAATCAGAAAAAGGGACAAGCTGAGCAATAGTACATATATACTTTTTAAAGCTTTTGCTAATATAGCACATCCTTCACTCCCTGTAGCTATAATTCATTTTCACTTGTATTTACTTTCCATTATACTCCAGGAAATACTATTCAAATACAAATATTCCTGCTAGGCTTTTTGATACTATAGGTACCACAGGGCTGAAAGTGCCTGAAAAACTAGAAGCAGGACTTATTGTAACCAGGTAGGACTGGCCAATATTTCTGAAGAAAAGCCCTATTCACACAGCATGTGTGTGAGGGTCCTGAGGATCCCTCAAGCTCCTCCTCTCCAAGGCTGTGCCTTTCAAGTGTTTTTCTTAAGGCATATCATTCAAGGATAGTTCTTTCTATAGTTCCTTTTTGCACCCTTACTTGCCACCCAAATGGGCTAGATTCCTTTCCAACAATTGCAAAATTGTTTCTGAATGCTACATTGAAAAAGCTTGTTCTGTTTTTAGGGGGTTTTTTATGTAACTGGTGGCCCAGCAGGTTCAAGTTCTCTGTTTATCTAACTACAGAGGTAGAAACAGAGGGGAAAAAAAGTTATACAAACTTCTTACTGAAGCATCTCAAATGTAAGCCCAAAAGAAAAAAGTGTTCCCCACCAACCCTTCTTCCCCTTCCTTGTCACAACTGCTCTGGCCAGTCCAGTAGTTTAAACAATTTATACAGAAGCTTTCAGTGTGACGTAAGTGACAACCTACCAAATGTTTAGAATACTAACATTCAGAAGTACAAAAACCTGTTTTGAATCTGTGGTTGAAAGTAAAGTCACCCAACAACTAGAACAGAGCTTTTCTTCTAGGTATATAGACAAAATCTAAGGATAAATAAAAGAGTACAGATAAAATCAAGTGGCACAGAAAGATGTCTCTACAGCCAAAGATCTTGGTAACTATGAGCTACTTTAAGCTTTTAAAAATCAAGATACAAAACTGACAGCGTTACAGATCTCTGTTTTAGATGAAAATGTTGCCAAAACACTAGGATTAGATTCTTTGGAATCACTGCTGATAATACAGGTTTAGGAAATAAAAGGCCAGTCATCTATTTTAGAAGAACTTCTGCTCTAGAAGTTTGTATTCTCAGCAACCAACATCACCTCCAGTACAATCAAGGATCTGTTGCAAGTCACAAGCTGGAAGTTGAACTGCATGCACAGGTAAATAAGCACAAGTAAGTATCATGTATTTAGAAAATAATGAAGGAAAAGACATTCACTCCTGAATAAACATAAAAAACTATCACCTTACCTCGGAGGCATTGATGGCCAAAGCCTTCAGCAGGAGCCTGCTGGCATCCAAATGAAGACCATAATGCATCAAGAGGTTAGCAAGATTGACGAGAGGGATGTCCTGATACTCATGTGGAGCCAAATTAAATGCTTTTTGCAAGCAGGTGAGAGCAAAGGTGCCATTTCCAACTGCGCGCCAGTACAATCCAGCTTCATTAAGCACAAGCCATAGAGGATCCTCCAGCTATAGGAGAGTCAGGGAAAAGGATAAAAATACCCACAAGGAAGTGTCTCAGGAAGACAGAATTGCCTGCTCTTTGGTAAGAAACAAACTCACCATTGCATACTACCTTATTAACTGGACACAAAATACACTTTGCTGTGATTTAGCAGATTACTCAACCTGCTCTGCTCAAATTTATGTGATTTACAGTCTGAACTGTAATTTAGTAGCAGCTTTTGCTCACACTCTACTCATATGACTCCCTTATATTGTGACCACAAAATCCCTTAAAATATACAAGTGATTATGGTTAGCTCACTTCAGGAAGCAACATTCATGAACCACTTACTTTTAAAATTACATTAATACAGATCTATGTTAAAATTTTACAGAACAGGTATTACAATTTGAAGGTCAGGCAGCTTTTAAATTATAGTTAGATGCACTTCCAGGTCCTATATTCAACATTGAGATTTCCTGTCAATTTAAGGTTTCAGAGTTAGTTGTTTTCTTAGACTTAGGTATCAATTTGTCTTATGCAAGTTGACAAGTGACACATGGTAGATACTGTTTAAAGGTTATAAAAGAGCAAGCAAGAAGTGAGGGCATGTGGAAGAATGGAAGAAGTGTCAAATACACCTTGAAGGGAACGTTCTCCCTCTGTCACCTATAACAGAATGAACAAACACTCATCCTAGAGGAGAAAACAGAAAACTTTAACACACTGACACGTGGACAGAGCAGTGTAAAATACCCACTTTCAGAATGAGCAGTTTGAAATGGTTTGGAAACATTTACATTTTAGTTTTTAATTCTTCCAGCATTCCATGTTACCCAATTCTACAGAGAGTTTGAAGATGAGTGTGACAACAGAAATTAAAGTCCAGTCCAACCCAGGTGTCAAAAGCCCAAATGTATGAGTAGTAAACGTGCAGCTAGGATTAAAGTGGAACAGATAAGGATCTTTACAGCAGTACTGTATTAGCCCAATAAAGCTGGCATTACAGTAATATTGTGTTGAAAAGGTTCATCAGTACAAAGATTTTCTTCCAGATTTTAAAAACAACCTCACACAGGAGGGTTGTACCTATGGTTCAAGTGAACTGGAAGAAATCAATTGGATGTATTATCTTTTTGTTCTGAGTACCTTACATAATCTGTAAGTCTAAGAGTATTTAACACCCCTATTTTGCAATGCACATCAGTAACATTACTTGCATGTTATCCATGCCAAACTCATCACTGAATTACACTCCATACTCAGATCTCAATGACCTTTGTTTAACTAAATCCTCAGCAAGTTATTAGCACGTTGTCTTTCCCAATACAAAGATAGCAACTGTGGCGCTCCTGCTCTAGAAAGTTTATCATCAGCAGAACAGGCATGACACAACAATGTTCTTGCATCAGCATCTAAATGACCAGGAAGTTCAGACTTCAACATGAAGGCAACAGAATACTACAGATAAAACCAAAATACCTGTGCACAGCAACAGTAAGACATTAGACATGTACAGGACTGTTCTGAACAGCATAATAATAGGAATCAACTCCTACTATTAATTCTTCTTCTGGTTAAGACAGGTGCACATAGTAAATGGTACTGATTTTAGACTAAAAACAATACATACACACACTGCCTTGACACAACTTGTACAAGAGAGTTAATTTGAGAAATATCAGCTTGACACATCAAAAAGAGTCAACCTCTATCTCAATTCTTCCTGTCATTTACTTGTGATGATTCTCAAAGGCCCCACGCAAGTGGAGGTGGCATTCCACAGGGTGCTGTACAGATGTACAGTCTTTGCCCCACAGTGCTAATTATCCTGACAGAAGATTGACAGACAGTTGGTTTCTTTGGAGGGGGGATGAGGTAGTGGGGAGGAGGAGGAAGAGCAAAAGGTAGGTATGTAGGGAGGGGTGAAAGATGGAAGAGTAGTTCCAAGCTATTTCTCTTGGTTGAGCAAACGACTGCAAGGATTAGCTAATGTACTGGTGCTCCATGTCCTGCAGTCACAACAAGAACAAGTAACTACAGGGCAGTCTGGTGCACACTAACCTAAATTAAATGGCTACTTCTCTATGTGTGTGTGCTTTACTTGTAAACATGGATTTTTAAGTTAGTGTCATCTCGGATACTGGCAGCAAATAAGCTTATTTCTTACAAATCACTGACTTCTTTAGAAGTATAAAAACAAGCCTCAAGTAATTGTGAATTTATCTAATGCTCCAGTTTTTGACATACCTTTTTCATAGCATGATCTAGAAATGCTCCTATCTTCGCCTGTGAAATAGTTTGATTGTTGATACGAGAATGTAAAACCTGGACAACAAAGATTTATTTATTAAACAACTGAACATGTTTTACATGATATACCTCCATCAGTCATTCAAGTCTCACTTCCCTAGGTCTTCCCTTTTATTAAGGGGTGGGGGAAAACCTTAAAAAAGCAAAGGAGTCAATACAGAAGTGGCT